CCTTGCCAGGTCCTCCGAGGGCCCAGAGCTGACAGGCTCTGAGTCTCTTGGGTCAGGGCTGGAGCTGGGGAGGGAGGCTCGGAAGGACCGGAGGCTCCGGACAGAGAGGGCAAGCACAGGACCCAGAGCTTCTGACTTTTTAGGTTGCCTTTGGTGGCCTGAGAGCCTCCCAGCGTTGGGACCCATAGAGGTGGAGGCTTTCTGGAAGGAAGGTCTGCTCCTATAGAACATAGGGGGGCCTTGCCCACCCAGCAGCTGAGAGGACCCCCAGCGCTGGCCAAGGCACCCAGCCTGCCCTGGGCCTGCCTCTGAGCCCCCTGCCCACCTCCGACACAGGCCGTTCTTGCTGACTGTGGCCTCAGGGGGCCTGGCCCTCGGGGGGGCTTCTCACCCGCTCGGAGTCACGGCCAGCCCTGCAGCCGAGGGATGGAGAGGTGCGTGCCCCCAGCCAGCCCAGCAGCAGGCTGGGATTAAGAGGAGAAGTCAGTCGTCACAGCCCTGCCCTGGGGGCTGATAAGTCCTTCCTGTGAACCCCGGGATTGCTAAGGGGGGTGGCTGCTGCCCCGCCCTGCCTGCCGCCTTGTTATCGGAGCTGTGCAGCTGACCGCAGCTGGGGGGGCTCCCAGGCCAGGAGTGCAGCCTGGCCCCTAGGACCTGGGCCGCGGAGGCCAGCCCCTTGCTCCCCGAAGCCCGTGAGCGTTCTCCTTGCCTTTCCACGGGCATCTGCCCCGTTCTGCAGCTTTGCTCAGGGGCGCCCACGGAGAGGGGGGGCTGACCTCACCCATCCTGCCTCGTGGGCTCCAGGCCCCCCCCGCCACCCCCCACAATGCCTGCTTTTGTCCGGGCGGAGAGCGGGGCCCTAGGCCCCGGGTGCACAGTTCTCTTGCAGCCTGAGCCCTCATTTTGGGGGATGAGCAAGGGCTCAGCGTAAGGGAGGGCGTCCGCGGTGTGGACCCCGAGATGCAGCCGCTTATCACTGAGAGAGGGTCCCGAAGCGCCAGCAGCCTGGGGGCCAGGCACCCCGGCGCGGCCACTGCCCGTTCTCAGCGTCAGAGAGGGACCCCTCCGGCTGGTCCCTGCACGCCTGTCCTGGTCTCATCTCCGGCTGCCTTTCTCAGGGTCCTCTTCCGCATTTCTGAAAACGGGATGGGGGATCCTCACCGGGCCCCCACGTTCTGCCCTCCTGGAGGCCAAGCTAGGACAGCGGTGCACAGACGGGGGTGGGGGGCGGCTGAGGCTCATTGGCCTGGTGTTGAGTGTCGTCGTGTGGGTGTAAGGGGCACGCCCGCAGGGATCGTGGTGCTCGGATGGGCAGAGCTGCCTGTGCTCGGCGCGCGTGGTGGGCGATGCCATGGGCCCCCAGGAGACCCCAGCCATCCCGGGCCCCCGGCCAGCAGGCCCCGCAGAGGTGGCGGCCGTCCCCGCGCCGCGCTGTGGCGGGTGCGGCCCCCGAGCGTGCGGAGTGGGTCTGCCTGAGGTCACTGTTTCAGTGTGTATTTTGAATATTTTCAGCTGTATGTGCACGGCAGGGACTTGGCCCGTGCACTGCGTGTGCGGCTCATACTTGGTGGGCTGTGTAATGTGCGGAGGCGTTGCCAAGGGCAGCGGAACTGCGGATTTTTTCCAGCATAATCATGAATTCTACCGCCACCCTCCCCTGCCCCTGCGCCCGCCTGTGCCGTCCAGCTCCAAGGCCCGGGAGCCGCCGGGAGCTGCTGGGGTGGAGGGAGGACGGGGACCGTTGCTTTGTCCCCCTGGACCGGCGTGCACCGCTCTGGTCCCTGGATTCTCGGGGACGGCAAGGTGTTCGGGGTGGGGTACGCCTTTGGGCTGCGTCCTCAGTGTTGAGCGGATGCCCTCCAGGCCTGTACTGGCCGGGCCTGGGGAAGTGGGGTGGGGGTGGGGCTGCTTTGGATGCCCTGCCTGGTGTTCCAGAGCATTCCTTCATTCATTCCCAGGGGAGGGAAACTCCAGACCCGGGAAGGTGGGTCGGGGGTCTCCAGTCCTCCTGCTGTGTGAAGGGCCACGTTCTTGCAGCCCCAGAGAGTAAGAAGGGCCAGCCCAGGGCCTGACCGGGTCCGGCTAACTCTCTCCGGCTGGCCCACCTCACCAGGGCTGCCCTCCCGCCTGGCTCTGGGCTGACACCCAAGATCCTGAGCCCCTAGTTCCAACCGTACAAGTTTGCTCGGGCTGCCAGAACCAAGCACCACAGGCTGGGGGCTGAAACAACAGAAATTTATTGTCTCACGGTTCCGGAGGCCGGGAGTCCGAGATCGAGGTGTCCGCACGTGGCTTCTCCAGAGGCCCCCCTCCTTGGTTCACAGATGGCTGCTTCTCGCTGTGTCCTCACGGGGTCTTCCCTCTGTGTGTCTGTGTGTCCGTCCTGATCTCCTCACGAGGACACCAGTCATATTGGATTAGGGCTCCCTCTAATCACTTCCTCTGAACTCCATGACCTCCGTAATGACCCTGTCTCTGAATACAGGCACATCCTCAGGTCCTGGGGGGTTCGCACGTCATCCTATGAAATCTGGGGCCGGGAGACACGGCTCAGCCTGTCACACCACGAGACGCTCAGTGCCTGGGGTCACAGCCGCGTTCCCCCGGCGCCTTCTGCAGCATCTTTGCGGGGCCACCCCTGCCCACCCCGGCTGGATGGGGGAGGTCCCCGTGGCTGGGCCGGGGGTCTGAGATCCCACCCAGGGAAACAGTGGCATCCTGATGGAGCCTCATTCTGCATTCAGCTCAGTCCTGAGGAGAGGAAACCGGGGTTCTCAGGGACACCGGCTCCCCCGCCGCTTAGCCGAGGGGCACTCAGTTGCCACGGTGACCTCCGTGTGCACAAACACACGGCCCAGCCTACTTCTGCGAGCTGGAGAGGGCTCCCCACCCCACCTCAGAGTTCACACTGAGTGTTGAGTCCCTTGGTGACAAAAACATGGAAACGGTTGCCATGGCAGCCATTCTTTGGAGCCCTCAGACTGGAGTGCAAAGTTCAGGATGCCCAGGAACGGCTGAAATGGAATATGGGAAAATCTGCCGCATCCCTCACCCCATAAGGACGAGCTGGAGGGTGGCGGACGCGCCCCTGGGCCCCGCCGTCCCCGAACCTCCCCGCATCGTGGGCCAAGCGCAGGGGCAGAAGGGGAGCAGCAGGGAGGGCCCTGGGAGTGAAGGTGGCAGGGTGGGCCCCAGGGACCATGAGAGAGGCTGGCTGGCATGGGTGGCCAGGCCGAGCCATAAGCGGGCAGGTGATGACCGCTCAGCATGCCCTGGGGACATGTCCTCGTGGCTGTTGGAGCCGCTGAGCTGGCCCATGGCTCGGTTTCTTCAGGTGTAATCTGGACAGACGAGCTGTTGCTCATTTTCCAGGAGGGCTCAAGTCCGCTCATCCGCCAGGGCCCTCTTCAGCCTGGTCCAGGGGTGAAGGGTGCGGGGGGTGGCAGGCGAGCTCAGCAAGGGCAGCGTGCCCCGTCCTGACCGTGGGGATGGGGAAGATGACCAGGTTTTCCTTGGTCGGTCAGTGCAGCAGAGACCTCTCCCTTTATCCCCTGGAATGATTATGTGTCCCCCCAGCAGTTCCCCAGCTGGGCCCCATGGGGCTCTGCTAACTCAAGATGCACTAGCCCAAGAGGCCTGCAGTCAGAATCATTTGGGAAACCAACACACATGCATACACACACACGATTTGTAGATTCAAGGCTCTGAAGAGTCCTGCAGTTAAGGAAACCTCTTGACTTTAACCCAGAATTTCACAAACCCATCTAAGCAAAGTGCCCCCTCTTTTTCTTTAAAAGGCATTTCCTCCTACTTTTAAAATACCTCCTAATATCCTGCAGAAATGCCATTTGTTAACAGTCACTAGGGCACTGATTCTCAAACTGTATTCCCTGGAACAACAGCAGCAACACCACCTGTGAACTGGTGCGAGAGGTGGACTCTGGGGGCCCATTCCAGATCCGCTGAATCAGAAACTCTGGAGTGAGGCCCAGCAATGTGTGCTTGACAAGCTCTCCGGGGGATTCTGACGCAGGCTCCAGCAGAGAACCCTTGTACCAGGGGACGTTTCGGGGGAGAATTAGCAGGGGAATGGCCTGGGGAATTGGAGAGGGTCAGGAGGGAGGGGGTGCAGCACCAGGACCCTGGACTCCGGAAGGGGTGCCACGTCCACCTGGAAGGGTAGGTTCACGGTACTCTGCACCTGGCACTGAGATCCCATCATGGTTTTCGGAGACTGGGTCAAGGGCAAGGTGGTGTGTCTGGAGGTGCCATGAGGCTTTTTTTTTTTTTTTTAGATTTTTTAAATTTATTTGACAGAGACACAGCGGGAGAGGGAACACAAGCAGGGGGAGCGGGAGAGGGAGGAGCAGGCTTCCCAGCGAGCAGGGAGCCCGATGCGGGGCTCGATCCCAGGACCCCGGGATCATGACCTGAGCCGAAGGCAGAGGCTTAACGACTGAGCCACCCAGGCGCCCTGCCATGAGGCTTGATGTTAAGTGCTCGGAGCCTTTGGAAGTGCCACGGCGGGAGGTGGGGGGGCACTAAGGAGGTTCCCACCCAGCCTGCGGGGAGTGATGGTTGCTGCTGTCACAGAGTGCACCTGTCCTGGGCAGGCAGACTCGGCCCAGAGTGCTGGGAGGCGCGGCGGTCAGTTCCTGTAAGCTTCTTCTGGTCCTGCCGGCCAAGCCCCAAACGCAGAGCTTCAACCCAGGCATGAGTAAGGCCTGCTGGAGCAGCGGCCCGGTCCAGGCATCGGCAGGTGGGGTTCCCAGGATCAGCTTAGGCACCACCCACGCGTGCCCCAGTGGGGTACCCTGTGCCGTCCCTTCCCAGCTGTGCCTTCTCCATCAGACCGGCCGCCCGGTCCTCGGCTCCGAGAGGGCTCGAGCAGGCAGGGGCCACCTGACCACAGGAGCCGGGGGTTTGTGTGTGTGGGGGGGGGTGCCCAGGCGGCACTGCTCGGCCCCGGGGCCCACTCTCCCGCCTGTGCTTCCTTGCAGCGGTCCAGATCCACATCCTGAAGGCGGACAAGGCAGGGGACTGGTGGAAGTTCACGGTGAACATCATCTCTGTGTACAAGCAGGGCGCGAGCCGCATCCGCCGCGGTGACCAGAGCCTGTGGATCCGCTCGCGGGACATCGCCTGCAAGTGTCCCAAAATCAAGCCCCTCAAGAAGTACCTGCTGCTGGGCAACGCGGAGGACTCGCCCGACCAGAGCGGCATCGTGGCGGACAAGAGCAGCCTGGTGATCCAGTGGCGGGACACGTGGGCGCGGCGGCTGCGCAAGTTCCAGCAGCGCGAGAAGAAGGGCAAGTGCAAGAAGGCC